TATATATACAGTGTGTGTGTGTGTGTGTGTGTGTGTGATGGTAATGATCCACAGATTCAAAATAGACACAACCCTGACATTTAATTTCTGTCATCACATATCTTGTAATAATAAAAACAATAAACATTAAATGACCATACTAGTCAGATGAAAAACAATGTTTTTTGTGAAGTACCTGTTCAAATGGTGATTAAGGCGTCCTTAATACTAAATGACGTCTATCAGTATTATCCTACACATTCTCACTCCCAAGTCGTCACATATTGACGCTTTTCCAAAGGTTCCCTCTGCGTCTTATTTTGACGCGCAGGGTACACCCCTCGCGTCAGCCCTTGACGCCCGCGGATTTTCCGGGTTTCGCCACCAGGGGTCTTTGGGTYGGGGGTCTGAGGTTAACATGAGGGATCAGGATTAATGGTTAAGTTTAGGTACTGGGATCAGGGGTAGGATGTCCATGGTGAATATTTGGTCATTTTACGCTTTAGAACATGTTGACATGAATTTCGTACATTTTCTAAAAATGATTAATTTTAGGTACTAGGGTCAGGGACAGGATGTCTAAAGTGAACAAAGGCAATTTCAGGCTTTGGAACGGTCGTTTTTGCACATTTTATACACTTTCTGAAAATATGTCAACAGACTTCGCCCCATCTCGTCACTAACTGACGTGACGGGGGTACCCTGCGCATCAAAATCGGACGTAGAGGGAACCTTGGAAACGTGTCAATATGTGACGACTTGGGAGTGAGAATGGGTTGTATTATCACTTTAATTTAACATGAAATACTTGGAGACACAATAAATTATGAGGATCTTGATGCACTTGCTAACTCATTGTTTCAGTGATTTATGTTTGTGTATGTTCAAAAGTTTTTTTTTAATTGAATGGTGACAAATCATTTCCTTTGTAAGGATTTATGACCAGTTTTAAATGACTGTGTTGTAGATCATAAGTATAAACAGGCATGCTTTATTGACTTGAGCTTTGGAGAACAAAAGGCAGTTTTCACCTTGTTTTCTTTTTCTTTCAGACCTCGGGGTTTTCATTTTCTTTTGATGACAAAAGAAATGTGCAAACATTGCACTTTTGAAGACAAACTGCAGACATATTGAATTTGTCCCACATCCTTCAGGGCTTTTGAAAAAATATTGTAATAATAAACTGATTTCTTATGATGAATGAGCCATGACTTTAATATGAATTGCAATGGTTTAACAGAGGGTTGACAAATATACATCAGTGCAAGCGATTCCAACCTTGGTCACACCAGCTGGTGGCCATGTCTCTGACCAATAAGCTGTGTTTTTTGTGAGCTCTCTCTCTCTCTCTCTCTCTCTCTCTCTCTCTCTCTCTCTCTCTCTCTCTCTCTCTCTCTCTCTCTCTCT